CTCCCTTCGGAACAGGAGCCAATCAAGCCTGAGCAGGCCCAGGCTGCCCCCTACCCAGCTCCTGCCCCCGCTGCTGGAAAGCTCCTGGCCCTCAGCCACAGTTCTAGTTTGCAACCCAAAAGGAAGGGGAGCACTTCTTGTGAACACAGAGCAACTCTGTACCCCCACAGGCTGGGCATTGTGTCTGCCCTCCAGGCCAAGCACCGGGCCTCCATTTGCAAACTGGCCTGGTGGGAGGGAACAGGTCCACCTTTGTGGGGGTGAACCGTGATCCAGCAGCACTGGGTTGACATTGGCCCTGAGCCCACACCAGCCTCCACCAAGGGCAACAGCCTAAACCTGGGCCTCTGCCTAGCACTGTGCACTCACCTTGGCATAGTCCAAAGGAAGTTGGTCCTCAGGGCATTTGAAGACTCCTTCACTGTGGAGGGGAAGAAGACAGGGTCAAGGCTCACACTATGAGAAGGGAGAGCCAAGGGCCCTGGGCCCCACCCCCTCAACCTGGGCAGCCTCTCTCCCTCTCTCACCAGACCGGTTCCCAACCAGCCCCACATGAGACAAAAGGGCACGCAGAGGCCTGAGGGCACCCATTTCCCCAGTACCCCCAGAAGATCCTGGCTCCCCATTCTGGTAAGGGGGCTCCAGGTCCCAGTAGGGACAAAGACAGCTGCTTTGAGCAGCATTTGGCCAACAGGTGGCAGCTGGCACCCCTCCCCCCAGAATGGCAGCTGGACTAGGAACCAACCGGCTGCCCAGCTATCCCCTCCTCCCAGATTAGTTCTCATTGGCTGCACTGGGCACCCAGGGGAGAGAAAGAACAGGAACGGGCTGAGATTAATGCCAGGGCTGTCCAGCCCCCATGAAGGTGCCCAGCCAAGAATCAGGGCAGAGGTCATTTTAAGGCCACCTTCCCCCATCTCTCCACTCCTCCTATGAGGGTGTGTCTCCTAAAGCAAAGAGCAGTGTTTACACTCTCACCAAGACCTCAGCGCCTGCCTCAGAAGGGTCTGAGTGTCCCTTCCTGCAGGTGAAAGAACTGAGGCCCATAGGTGAAGCAGCACCTGAATACATGTCCGATTCCACAGCTCAGATGGGCTCTATCTACTACACCATACAGCACAAAGGCAGTGGCAGGGGCAAGAAAAAATGTCCAGACAAGCAGAACCAGGGCTGGTCAATGCCCAGGAGGCATCTGAACAAAGCTTGTTGACCTTGCCCACCCTGCCAGCTCCCTCTTCTCCACCAGGCTGTTAGCACCCAACCGCCCTGCTGCCATGCCGCCTCACACCAACATGGCCTTGCTGACCCCAAGCAGGACAAGGGCTCCTCCAGCAGGACTGAGGGCCCTGAGGCCTAGCATTCCCAGCAGGTCGGAATCAGGTAGGTAGAAACAGACAGGGATTAAGGCAAAAGCAGAGGACACATGGCAGCCCTGTCCATAATGCCACTTGCCAGTGCTGGGGGAGTCCACACCTCAGGGAGGGGCCCAAAGGATTTCCACACCACTTTCTCCCCGACCCCACCACTACTGGCTATGCCACCAAAGCCAAGAAGAGTACATGCCTAGGCACTGAAGGGGTGTGCTCATGCCCACAGGCAATGAGCCTCATGGACCATCCTGAGTAATAGCTCTAGCAGGAGTGGGGAAAGTGGGGTGGGCCAAGGGGAGGGGGCCCACTTAGCTGCTTCAGGAATGTGCTGACTTCATGGTTTTAGAAACAGGGAGGGGACTGAGGCAAGCCCCCGGGCTGCAGGCAGAAGCTTGGCCTGGGCAACTTGAGGCCCAGCCAGGGCACCGGTTGGACAAGACCTATGTATACCCTTGGTTGTGCGGTAGGGGGTGGTGGTGAGGGGCAGATCCTGACCCACAATCAGGCTAGGCAGTAAGATCAGCAGGTACCTCATCAACATAAGGAGGTAGGGGAGGAGGAGAGGCAGGGGCAGAAGCTGCTCAAGGCTGCACAGAGTGGAGGCCCAGGCCCAGGGGAGAAGACAGGATGGGGGGGGAGGGTTCTGTGGGAGAGGAAGAGGGGATTTCCGGGAGGGGGAGGGGCAGGAGCAGCTAAGAGAGGGGCGGAGATGCAAGGAAACAGGCCTGACAGCCCCCTCCTCCCCTTCCCTGAGGCAGTCAGGGTGGGTTAGCTGGGGGGAGGGAGGGTTCAGCTGGCCTCATCTGGAAACCAGAGGGCTGAGGAAGGGCACTACAGAAGACAATGGGACTGTGTGTCTGTAAAGGAGTAAGTGTGTACACTAGAGGGAGGAGGGAGAGGGATGGGGAGAAGGGGGCAGCACAGCAGCTAGCGCTGGAACATATGTGAGGGCAGGAGCCGGCCCAAGCTGTGGGGAACAGAAACAAAGAGCCTGCTGAGATTTCTGCAAGCGAGGGGCTGCAGAGGAAGGCGGGAGGGAGGGAGGGAGCACCAAAGGCAGGAGCCCCAGAAATGCTCTCTCTGCCTGGGCCCCTTCATCCCCCTGGCAGACAAGACTCCTGACAGGGAGCAGCAGCCGACCTAGCCTTCTTCTGTGCGCCTGGGGCAGACCTCACCAGGAGAGTGGGTTCCCTCACCTTGCCTCCCCACACCGCATGCTGAGCAATGCCCAGCATGGCCAGGAAGTTCAAGACACTACAAGGTGCCCGGAAACACAAAAGATGCTCAAAAGCCAAGAGGTGACTCGCGCCCTGAGAGGGCAGGGGGGCGTTCCGTTAACACCCAGGCTTCAACCCCCCTCCTTAACGACTTCTGACCATCCACGTATTCAAGACCTCCCTAGGGAGGAGACACTCAAAACGGTTCCTATTTCAAGGGAGGGTTGCAGAGTCACACAGTTCCTTACATTGCGAGAATACAAGCAACCAGATTCAAATCTCAAGTTAAGCGTTTAAGTAATTGTGTGACCCTGGGCAAGTCGTGGCCTTTCTTTGACTCTCTTGTTTGATCATCTGTGAAATGGGAGAACAATAGCTGCCGTTCCCGGAATGTTCGAAGAATCAGAAGCAGTCAGACGGCAGAAAACTCGGTGGCTTAAGGCGCTGAACGGAAGAGGGGTTTGTCATGTCCTTTTCCCCGAACGATTCAAAGTTCAAGGATGAGGCCACTCTCTCGCTCTCAGGTGAGGGCGAAGGGGCGGCCCCGGGTCAGGAAGGGCGTCTTTCCCCATCTCCACCCCGCGGGAGGGCACTGACTTCTTTCGACCTGGCGTGTGAGGCGGACCGGACCCCGGAGCCCCCGGAATAAGGCCCAGGGTGCTCCCCGGGTCCTGACGTCACCGCCGCCCCTCATGACGTCACGGTAGGCGCCCCTGAGGTCAACGAGTCGCGGCGCAGACAAAGGCCCCGCGCGGCTCCAGCCTGGGCCCCTCCTCATGCAGTGTCCCTCCTATCCCTGCCGTCCCCCCCTCCTCTCGGCCCGCACCTGAGGAACTCCTGCAGGCAGGTGTCGCAGAAGCGGTGGCCACAGGTAGAAACCTGCACGGGCTCGCGCATGGGCTTCCCACACAGCGGGCACAGGAGCCGCCGCTTGGGTTTCTCCAGGAACTTGTAGTCGAAGCCAGGCATGGCGGATAAGTAGGCGAGCAGCAGATACGGGTAAGCGGGGCCGGGCACGCGGCGGGCCCACAGCCCGCGCCTCGCTCCGGCCGCGCTCCCGGCTCCGGGCGGCGCTGACTGGCGGTCGGGGTCTGGGCCCGGTCCTCGAGTCCTCACTCCGGAAGAGGGGGCGGAGCCACGCCCGCGCGGTCCTAGTGCCCGCGCCGTCTGGGCGCCACACCCACTCCTCTAGCTCACGGATTTGGGTTCGGATATGGCCAGATTCGCCCAGGGCCACGAAAATGAATCAGTCCCTTCCACTCCAGGAGACTAGGACTCCTCTCTCCCCTTCAGCAAAGATCGCAGCTCCCTTTCTCTCCAGAGCTGGGGTGCCCTGGCGCTCAGCGATGAGTAGGGCGGAAGGACCCAGGGAGTGTGCCTCTGCTAAGGGGGCGGGGCGTGCCACAAAGGCTTCTCAGAGTCCACAGCTGCGTCTCGTGGGGCCACGAGCCGCCAGGGGCCCCAGGTTCCAGGTGCTAGGCAGCCGAGGCCAGGCAACCGGACCCGGGGAACCCGGCTAGGGCGCAGAGTCCGGGCCCGGCCCTGGGCCAAAGGAACCTCGGTCCCAGGTTCCGGCTGCGCCCACATTCCTCCCTCGGCCGCCCTGCAACCGAGGTCTGGCCTGGCCCAGCCCTGCCCTGGGGTGTCAAGCAACCACCCCTACACGCGAAGAGACCACAGTACAGGCAGGCAGCTGATGTTTTTATTGGTGCTACTTCCCAGTTCTCTGGGAGACTGGTCTGGCCCAGCCAGTTAACCCTTCTCCGAACCTGGCTGAGATAATAGCTGGGGTGAAGGGCAACCTTCAACCAGGAACCCCTCTGCAGTGGATATATCTAGAGTCGTGTGTACTCTCGAACCGGAAGAGAAGGGCACAAAGGTTGTGGAAACCCCTTCCTCAGTATAGGGACGGGGGCGGATGGCAGCGCCCTTGGACCTCCCTGCCCCAGGCAATGCAGAGGCCAGGCAGGCTGACCGTCAGTCCCAGTCCTGGCACGCTCTGGCCTGCCCTGCTCCTTGGAGCAGCTTTCCAAGACACCAGAGATTCATTTTCTAAGGGGGCGGGGGCGGGGGCAGGGCGGGGTCTGGGTCCAGCCTTTTTTTTTTTTTTTTTTTTGTCAAGGCTCTGGGAACCACGCTGCTTTTAAAGGGTAGGTCTGGCTTCCAACTTCACTAGGCTGGACCCTGGGGACAATGAATTAAGGGAAGTGGGAGTGAGGAGAGAAAAGAGAAGTGTTAGAATAAGGTGAGTTGAGGTTTACAGTCCAAGGCCAAAAGCTTCATTAGCCCTTATATGCCACTGATGAGAGTTTAGAAAGCTGGTGGGGACAGCATGCCTCAGCCACCTGTGGTTTTCAGGAACATTCAGCGAAGAAGCAATTATCAAGGTGGTCCAAAAGTATATCCAAGTGCCTCAAGGGGGGACTGGCTCATCTGTGACCGCTGGAGGATATAGAAGAAAAACCTCTGTGGTCTCCAAGAGGGGCAGTGACCCAGGAGGCACTACCCACCTCTGATCCCACACTGCACCCTGGATTCTGACCATACTGTTGTTGTTGTTGTTGTTATTTGCCATTGAGTCAGCCCCGACTCATAGCGACCCCTCCTTGGGTTTCCAAGGTGATATCTGACCATACTACGCCAGATAATTTAGGTTCAAACCAAACTGGACTTGGGGATAGGAGGAGAAAGTGTGCGTACAAGCCCTAGGGAGCAGTAAAGATTTACAGCCTTGGAAACCCAACAGGGGTCACTATGAGTCGGAAAAATGACTTGATGGCAGTGAGGTTGTTATGTTTGTTTGAAGAAGCTTCTGGTGATTTGGGCTGTGATCACTGGGGATGAGGGTGTGGGCAGGGTTAACCCTTCTGTGGGTGGGGTGGGAAAAGTTGTGACTCACGTCTAACAGCCAGGAGAGTGTTTCCATGGCAAGAGGACACAGAGGTTACAGTGTAGGGGTGCGTCTCGTCCAGCTGCACTGGCCGAGGGAATCCTGCATCCTCATCTCTCCTTCCCAGTCGACCTCGGGCCCCTTTGCCCCAGGAGTACACCTCACCTTCTGTCAAAGAGAATCCCACGGAGGGAAACGGGAGGGAGGCACAGCCTGGGCAAGCAGCTTTCTCCCAGATGGCCCCCTGTGTGAGAGTACCGAGCCCAGCAGCTCTGAGTGTGAAAGCCCTATTGCCCGTGGCTGTGTTCACAACTGTCTGCTCCCACGGTGCCCACTCCTCACCTGCCCCAATGGCTATAGTGAAGGCATCTCCACAAGCCACCATTGCCACCTTGATGTCCTGGAGGCCTTGGACCTGACAGGGTGCCCTGCTGCTCCGGTGAGCACTGGTACCCAATTGTCCATGCTGATTGCTACCAAAAGTATAGCAGTCACCTGAGGCTACAGGGTAGAAGGGAAAGAGGTGCTTGAACCAAATCCCAAAGAGGCCAGGTAAGCCCACCTCTGGCCTCCTGTGCCAGGTCTTACTCACCAGTCACAGCAGCGGAGTGAGCAGTGCCCAGGTCTACGCTCAGCAGGGGTTCCAGGTCCAGAGGTGCAGAGCCTAGTGGTATGAAGCTCAGGGCTTCCTCCACTTGCTGGTGGGGGGCAGGCTCCTCCCCCAGGGAAAGGTGGTCCAGGCCCAGCTTGTTGAACCTGAGGGCAAAGCCAGAGCCAAGTCCAACTGACAGACAGTATAGCCTGCTCTGTCCCCACCTATCTGGGTAGGAGCTGGTTCAACAGATCAACCCTGTTTTGAAATGAGCAGTGCCCTCAGCCCCCTCGGTTCTGGCCCTCAGTGGAGGTAGGCAATGACAGGTGGAGCAGAAGCAGCCACTGAGTGTGAGGGGACATGTTAGTCATCCTGGTACACCTGCTCACCTATTGCTCCCACAAGCCAGGGCTCGGCCAGGCACAGTGAGGACCATGGAGGAGTCTATGCCACATACAATCTGTTGGGCTTCTTGTCCGGGGGGCATTGGTACCTGCTGAGGGCAGCTGTGGGACTCCCTGGTACCTAGTCCCAGCCGGCCTGCAAGGAGAAGCCAGGACGAGGGCAGCTTGAGCTTTAGGGTGGATGATGCCCGGATGAGGAGGGCCCACACAGAAGACCAAAGGTTATTCCCTCAGCCTGCAATTCCTTGGACCCTCTGCCTATTGAAATCCTACTTCACCTTTAAAGCCCAGTTCAGATTCAGATGCCATCTCTGTCTCCTCTAGGTGGAATCCATTGCCACTCCTTGGGTTCCCACATCTCTGGACCTTGGGTATAGCCCTGATGCTGTCCTCTATCATAATGGAGATGTATTATCCCTTCCCCCATTAGATTGAGTCCTTATAGAGGACAGTAACCATATCTATGTCATCTCTAGTTTCAGTGCCAGCCTGATGCCCAGAGAAGGCCTCAATAAATATCGTTGGATGAATGAAATCTCCCTTTTTCCACAGTAAGCACGTGAAGAAACCGCATCCTGTTCATCTCGTCTCAGCACTCAGCACAGGGTGGGTACATAGTGGGTATACAATAAGTTTCTTGAATAAATGAACGGACAAAACTGGGGAGAAGAGGAGGCAAGAATGGGCCATGGGGTGGAAGGTGACTATGAGAAGGAAATGAGGGCTGGAGATGCTGTGAGATGGCGCCTAGAGGCTGGAGCAAGAGTGGGGAGCTTACCACCATCTCCACGGCCCCAGGCAAAGAGTTCTCGCTCAGTGGACAGGGCCAGCACGTGAGATGCCCCACAGGCCACCTGCACCATCTCATAGCCCAGCAGGGCTTCCACAATGGTGGGCTGGAGAGCAAGAGGTGGGCAAGGGATCTGGGACTAGCTGCCTGGTCTCAGCATCCTCCATTGGGATGAAGTTGGAGGCTGCAATGTTCTAAGGGGTGTCTGTCTCTTCAACTCCAACCCCATCCCCACTCCCCCATCACTACACACTTTGCTAGGTGGATACCCTTTGCAGAAGCCTAGTCCTTCTGTACTTCCCCTGCAGCGGCCCAGAACAGGTGCAGGCTGAGAGCAAGAGGGACCCACAGCTACTAGGGATTCCCCCGTCTCCAACCTGGGTGTCACCTCTCAGATGTGGGCTCCCTGCCATCCCCCTACTTCCTTCTCCTGCAAGTGACACCCACCTGGCTGATGTCAGTGAGGCTGCCATGGCCTAGGCACCCGTTGCTGCCACTGCCAAATGTCATGATGATGCCTCGGTCTGCAGAGGAGGGCAGTGAGGGAAGGGAATGGGGAGAGGTTAGGCTGTTTTTCCAGACAGGCCAATCCAACCTTGGATTGCAAGAAAAAGTTGGGAGCTAGGGCTGGAAAGGGATAGGAGGGAGAGAAAATGTGTAGCTCTGGGCAAGTGACTTAGCCTCTGAGCCTTAGTTTCTCCACCTCTCAAATGAAGATAGTATAACAACTACCTTGCTAGGTGTATCCTGAAGGGTAAAGGAGATTGTGTCAGTAAAGCCCTGGAGCTCAGTAACTGAGAGGTAAAAACATTAAATAAGCAATTTGCAAATGACAGGCAATGAGAAAGCTGTTCTGGGGTACCCTTTCATAGCAGGGCGTCCCTACTATGATTAGTCCCCTGGGAGGCTCACCAGTTAGGCAGGCAGTGAAGAGGTCCCCGCAGGCCACGTGCTTGATGGTCACGCCCGACTGGCCCTCCAAGAAACGTGAGATGAACTGGGGCTGCTGCTGCTCCATTGCCCCTGGGAGGAGGACGCCCCCACCAGCACCTAGGGGCGGGGCCTGCAGAGGGGGCAGAGAAGACAGGGCTGGTACCCGAGTATCTTGCCATCCCTCCACAAGGCGCTCCCGGCCAGGTCCACCCCAGCCTGCTCACCTCCCACAGGATGAGGCGCCCGGAACGTGTGACGCCTGCCTTCTGCGTGCGCCCCGTGGCCACTTGGACTACCTCTGTGTTGAGCATCGGTAGCCGCAGTGGGGCGCTGAGCCCACTGCCCCACGCATAGACAGAAGACAGAGGTGGGGGGATGGTGGGCCGCATAGGCCCCCTGGGGACGCCTGTGGGGGTGCAGGAATAGCACATGGGGCTTATTAACTGGTGGGAATAAAGGGTACCCATGCAGACTGCAGCCTGCCCCAACTTACCCCTGCAGCGGGCACTGGTGGTCCTACCCCCTGCACTGCCAGGGGCCATGGGTGGTCCTGGGGTCAAGGACTTCTCAGCCCTACAGGACAGATGGCCTCAGGACTCAGACTCTCTCCAGCACTCCCACAGGCAGGAATGAGGTACTCGCCCCATGCGCCTCTCTACCCAGGTCTCCTGTGCCCTGACTAGGTGTGCTACCCTCTGCTCCTGCCATCTACGGCTTCTCCCTACTCCCCCCAGGAGCCCGCCCTGTACAGGCCTCTGCATGCGGACGCTGCCCACGTCAGTGTGGAGGTTGAGGAGGGCACGGATGCAGAGGGGCTGCGCCATGATGTGGCTGAGCGGTGGCCGCTGTGAGGGCTCCAGGCTGAGCAGACTTAGGACAAGCTGGCGCAACTCAGGGCTGTATCGGTCAGAGATGGGTGCAAAGGTGCCACTCATGATCTTCAGCACCAGTGCTGGCAGGTTCTATGGAGGCACCAAGTTGAAGGGTTGGCCTAGGGCTGGGCTCTTATGCCAGCAACATCTCTAACTCTCAGCTCCAGGCCTGGTCTGATGGAGCAGTCATAGCCCTCTCTCGGGAACCTTCGGTTTGATGAAGAGACCCCCAGAATGATGCCAAAGCCAACCCCTGCCTTCATGAATCCCTAGTCTGATGGGGAAGCTACAGCTATGCCCTCTGAAACTTCAGGTTGTTGGAAAAACTCAAGTCTTGCCCTTGAAGCTTCCCTCAACTAATGGAGCCACAGCCCTGCCCTGTCTAATGGGTGCACAAAAGCCCCATCCTCAGTAACCCTCAGTCTGAGGGAGTCACAGCCCTGCCCTGGGCTAGTCCACCAGTCTGCCGCAGGAGAGATACGACTCAGCCATAAGAAACACAGAAGGGGCTGGAGCTGAGAGCTTCTGAGGGAGGGAGGCAGACGTTTCATAGCTGCCTTCTTGGGCATGCTTACTGCTTACACTCACCGCAGCCTCAAAGGCCCTCTTGAGGCTGGCCAGCTCATAGAGGACACAGCCCAGGGCCCAGATGTCGCTCTTCTGATTGTAGGGTTTGCCCTCACACAGCTCAGGGGAGATGTAGCATGGCGTACCCACCACCTGCAGCAGGAAAGCCAGTATTATAGCATGGAAGTAGGGGGAGGGCATGGGGCCAAGTGCTTTACCCACAGGTCCATCGGGAGACAGCTTCTTCCCAAAGCAGGCCAAGAGCTCCTTTCTGCAGGACTACCTAGCCAGGGCCAAGAGGCCAAGGTCTTGGGGGTGGGGGTGAAGGGAGAAGGTAGGGATATAGAGTGGGTCTTGGCCCCCAAGACCTCCACCACTCCTGAGGCCCCCTCCAAGCCCAGGCACCGTGTAGGCCTTGCTCTTGCTGCTAAGGATCTTGGAGATGCCAAAGTCACCAATCTTCACCACCATGCGGTGCTTGTCCAGGAGAATGTTCTGGGTCTTGAGATCCCGGTGCAGGATGAGGTGGGTGTGCACATGGTGTAGCGCAAGCAGGATCTGCACAAAAAAGTGCAGGATGGTTTCCTCCTCCAGCAGGGAATTGCAGCGCTTTTGGATGAACTCAGCCAGGGTACCACCTGTGACCACAGAGGGCTGGTAGGGTTCAGACTTCTCCACACCTGAGATAACCCCTCTCCTTTTAGGTAGTGCTACACTGAGGAACAGAGAGGGTAAGGGACCTGGTTGCACAACTGAGGCCAAAATTCTATACCCCTGACCCTCAGCCAAGCCCATTCCAAAGCAGGAAGCTGGTGAAGCCGTCTGCCTGTCCCAGAGGCAAGAGACTCTTGAAGCCAGGCCAACACAAAGAGACTGGTTCACCTGGTGCATATTCCATGGCGATCATGAGGGCCTTGTCCTCCAGGAAGTTCTCATAGTACTCAATGACATTGGGGTGGTTGAGCAGCTTGAGGACCTGGCACTCATTCTGGGCCGCCTGCCGCTCTTCCTTGGTCATCTGCTCTACTGGGATCTGCTTGATGATTACCAGCTTCTGGTCAGCCTTGCGCAGGCACAGGTGCACAATCCTGGGAACCCAGAGTACAGTGACAGGCACCAAATGAGCCTCAAGTATGGGTCAGACCTCATGACTGGGTGTTCCTTAGGAGAGGAGAATGGGCTCCCAGACTAAGAGGTCATCTGACCAAGGAGCTCTGGTGGTGCAATGATGAAAGTGCTCAGCTGCTAACTGAATGGCTGGTGGTATGAACCCACCAGCCACTCCAAAGGAGAAAGATATGGCAGTTTGCTTCCATAGAGATTTCGGTTTTGGAAACCTCATGCAGTTGCTATGAGTTGGAACTGACTGATGGCAATGGGTAAACAAGTGCCCGGAACACTGAGTTTGGGACTGAGAAAAATCACAAATTTGGTGTGAGACATTGGGCAACTCATTTAACTTAGCTGCGACTCAGTTTTAACACAGGCACAATGAGGGATGGATTATGTTGATCTCTAAGTTTCCACAAGAGTCCTTGGGTGGTACAATCAGTTAACATGCTCAGATGCCACCCAGAGGTGCCCTGGAAGAAAGGCTTACTGATTTACTTCTGAAAAATCAGCCATTGACAACCTTATGAAGCAGAGTTCTACTCTGACACACATGGGGTCACCATGAGTCAGAGTCAACTTGATGGCAACTTTTTTTTTTTTTTTTTTTTGACTTCCCATAGACTCTGGAGTCAACTGCCTGGGTCAAATCCTGTATCATCCTATGACATTATCATCTGGAAATCAGGAATAATATACAACCAAGTTCACTGGGTTATTAAGAAGATCAAATGAAAAAATGCACATCAAGTACTTAGCAAGTGTCTCACACACAGAAAATACTCAGTGACTGTAAATTATTCATATTATTATCTCCTTCCAATTCTGTGGTCAATGTCCATAACAGCAGGGACTACACTGTCCTTCTTCACTTAAGTCTCCAGTATTTGTTGTTGTTGTTGTTATATGCCGTCGAGTTGGCCCCGACTCATAGCGACCCCTCCTTGGGTTTCCGAGGCAGTATCACTACGGAAGTAGGATTGCCCAACCTTCCTTCTGAGGAGTGGCTGGTGGGTTTGAACCGCCAGCCTTCTGGTTAGCAGTCAAGTGCCTTAGGCACTATGCTACCAGAGCTCCAGTATTTAGCACATCTTAAAACCCAAAAAGGGAGCTCTGGTAGCATAGTGGCTAAAGCACTTGACTGCTAACCAGAAGGCTGGTGGTTCAAACCCACCGGCCACTCCTCGGAAGGAAGGTTGGGCAATCCTACTTCCGTAGTGATACTGCCTCGGAAACCCAAGGAGGGGTCGCTATGAGTCGGGGCCGACTCGACGGCACATAACAACAACAACAACAAAACCCAAAAAACCAAACCCACTGTCATCAAGTCAATTCCAACTCATAGTAAATTGCCCCATCTTCCTTTCGTGGAGCAGCTGGTGGGTTTAAACCTCCAGCCTTCAAGTGAGAAGTCAAATGCCTTAGGCACTACACCACTAGAGCTCCTTCCCTTTATATTGGAAATAAATTCAACTCCTTTACCTTAGTCTCCAAGGCCATAATCTGATTCCGTCAATACTGACAACCTCATTTTATACCATTCCCTACCCTGCCCACTACATTCCAACTACACTAATCTTTTTCTCAGTTGCCTGAATGCTCTTGAGTTTTTTTCTGTCCTGAGGATCATGGTATATATGGTTTCCGTCCTGAAAAGACCTTCGTTTTCTGACTACTGATCCTCAATCCTCAAGTCTTGGCTTTAAAACTCACTGCTCAGAAAAGCCTTCCTTGACCATCCCAAATAAACATTCTCCCTGGTGGTGTGCTCTCCTCGCACCCTATTAATAACTTTGATAACTGCTGTAACATCGTAACTCCTTTAACAATTTATTGTATAGTTTGCTCCTATAGTCTGTAAGCTCCGAGAAGGAAAGGACCACGCATGTTTTAGTCATAATTGTATACCCAGTCCCAGTACCTGTCATAAACAACTGGCACTCAATTATTTGTTGAATGAATGAATTAGGAATCAACTCCGCGAGCGCGCGATGGCTAGTGAGGGGCGTGATCTAGCTAGGGGCGGAGGTTCCCGCTAGCTCTGAGGCCGGAAGCCTGGGCGGGGCTTCTCCCGAGTGGGCTTTAACGCCTTGGTGCGGGGCTAACCAAGCAGCAATTTCACAGCCAGAGTTGGGGCTTATTCTCCCTCTCCGCAAGCACTTTCCTCCCCCAGAACCCTAGCTCACCCGAATGCACCTCTTCCCACCACACGGATCCTTTCGTACTTCTCCATCTCATTTCTGAGTCACATTTCCGGAACCCTACAGCGCGTGCGTGGACCCGCCCACTTTAAAGCCCGGACGCTGTGAGATAATTGTGGGGCGGAGCAAGTGGAGCTGCGGCCTTGGTTCAGCCCTGGTCTCTTCGGAATTGTACTATACAGGCAACTTTGACATGAGATCGCTTTTCTCTCTCGATCCCACCTCTTGCAGGGTCCAGGGAATGGGGCGATATGCCGCTTCTTGGTGCGCCCCTCCACTGAGCACGATACCATCATTTTCCACACACGTGGCCGGACCCAGTCCTCCTCACAAAGCCTTGGTAAACCCGAAGGGTACTGCGCCCGAGAGTTGCCCCTCCGCAGACCAGGTAGGGGTGGGAAGGGAAGACTGATCCCTCTCTACCCAGGAGTGACATTATTTCGGAAGGAGAAAGCGGATTTTCACTGGCACGGAAACGATAAATACCAAAGCAAAACTGAACCAAGGGTGTCAGCGTTCTCGGCCAGCAGGGCAGGGTTAGTTTCGTGTTTGTCTAGGGAGGGACCGGGGAAACTCCAATTGATTCACCTGGGGAGGACGTGACAAGGCTTTTGCTCAGAGGTAGGGGGTGCTAACCAGTAAGACCATCTAGGGTCTTGAAGGGAAGCAAGTTTAATTCCAGGTTCTCCCTTGCGCCTCCTGCTCTGTCAAAGTTCCATAAAATTTCAGTAATAGGAGGAGGATGGTAATTAAGCTAAAGGTTAGCGTCTCTGTTTCTGAGTGGGTGAGGAATGCTGAGGAAAGGGGTGCTTATCCTCTGTCCCTGCCCCTTGAAACGCAAGCCCCCCACATGGAATGATCACAGGAGGGAGCCCTGGGTCGCTGGCTCAGGCAGTTGGCGGGCGGACAAAGCTCCCAGGAAGCAAAGGGGAAACAGAGAGAGGAAGTCAGACACCTGGGACACTCGTGCTGTCACCTAGAAACCAACAGGGCCTTGGCTGACCTAAGAGTCCCACAGGGGGTTAACGTGTAACCTTGGAGCCTAAAAGAGATGCAGAACAAACATTCCCTGGGTCTCTGGCGTCTCAGGCTTCTGGCTTTCTCCTCCCTCCCGCAGCACCTTTTCTTTGGTCCCTTGCCCTTTCCTATCCTAGCCCGCTCTCAGCCCCTTCTCCCTTTGCTCAGGGTCTGAATAACTTTCCCCAAAAGCTACTGCCACTCTCGTTGGAGGCAGGAGGCCCTCGCCACGATGAGGATAGGATGACACCTAGTGGCTGTGAGCCACAACTGCTCCAGGCTACTGGCCTGGAGAGAGAGGGTCACCCCAGCAGCCCCGACAAATCGTCGGTTTTCCCCGCCCCTAGAGCCAGAAACAGCTGGGAAGCAGGGAGGTGATGGTTACTCAATAGTTCCTAAGCACTCACTTGGTGCGGGGTGTAGGGGCAGGTGAGCACGTCTATTTCTGGCCTGAGGAAGCGAGTGCAGGAACACAGTCTGTGAGGAGATCATTGTCCGCGGCAGGGTTTCGACCCTTCCTCAAGACTAGGGGGAGCTCTGGTGCTTAGGCGACGTGGGTGGGTAGCAGGTCCCGCCCAGCTCTGCTCGGAAAGGGGTTTAGGGCGGAGAAGGTTCCTCAGTTCCCGCCCAAGGCGGGGAAGCCGGTAGCCCTGGGGAAAGTGGGGACACGGGTTAATGAGGCCAAGCGACTGAAGGCCGGAGGGGAGTGCGTCGGCAGTCGAGAGGCGCCAGCGAGGGGTACCTCGGCTGCGGCGCCTCTGGCACAGCCCCTCCTATGCGAAGTCTTCGGGGGCCAGGCAGGGCGGAGGAGGCCCACGGGAAATGGGGCTCGCGCCCTCAGAGCAGCACAGGCGCCAGAGGGACCAGGGCAGGCTGACGGGGCGGGGCGCTGGCGGCTGCTGGGGGCGGGGGCAGAGGCCGCGCTGGGAGGGGCCGGGAGAAGGGAAGGGGCCTAGAGGGCTCTGCGAAAACTGTGCGAGGCTGGCTGCCGGCGGCGGCAGGCGAGGTGTGTGGGGCAAAGGGGCCTGAGAGGGAGCCCGTTCCCCGAACAGCCTTAGGCTGCCGCCTAAAATACACACAGACCGACGGCAGGGAGGGCCACTATGCTCTTTCTGCTGCACCCCGCCTTGCTGTTGCTCCTGGGCGCCACGCTGACCTTCCGGGCGCTCCGACGCGCTCTCTGTTGCCTACCCCTGCCGGCGCACGTGCGTGCCGACCCCCTGCGCACCTGGCGTTGGCACAACCTACTCGTTTCCTTTGCCCACTCCATAATTTCAGGGGTCTGGGCGCTGCTGTGGTAAGTGACTGGGGGAGTGAAGGAGGCTAGGGGATCCTGCGCGGGGAGCTGGAACTTCCTTACTTTACTTCTCTCATCACTCACTGGCGGGCTGAGGCCCTGCAGTCTCACCTGATTCCTTATTTTGGAATCCTACCTAACCAGGAGCGGCTGCGGCCCTGGGGGAGGGGGAAAACTCACCTGGGAAACCGGAGGCACCTGGGTTTCGGCCAAGCCCCTCCTCGCTCCCCAGGGAGTCAATAGTGCGAGTGGCCGGCCCAGACTCCCCTAGGACTGGCGAGAGTGATTGAGGAGTTGAGGGTTTTGGGGGGTGTTGAAGTGCTGGGAGCCTCCCTTCTTCTCTATCATAGTGTATGGCAGACCCCCGAAATGCTAGTGGAGATTGAGACGGCATGGTCGCTTTCTGGCTATCTGCTAGTTTGCTTCTCTGCAGGTAAGTCTCGCCCAGGAAGCATGGAGTTGCAAGAAGCAAGCTGCTTTTTCAGGCTCTTTCATGATCTCCTCCTCCATCTCTCTATTAGGTTATTTTATTCATGACACAGTGGACATCGTGGTGAGCCATCAGGCTCGTGCTTCTTGGGAATATCTTGTTCATCATGTCATGGTGAGCAGCAGGGGCTGGGGCATGGACCTTGGCGTCAGCCCTGTCTGAGCCTGGGAGGCTGTACCCTCTTATCCCTGGTTGCGCCTTTGTCATCCATCTTTTCACATGCTAGAAGCTGAGCGTTGGCACTGCCCCTTGTGTCCCGTTTGAGGCCTACAATTCTTGACCCTATGTAATACCTCCTTAAACATACTGAGAATTCCACCAGAGCCAGACTGTGAGCAGAGATCAAGATTTCATCATGTTAAATGAAAATAAGAAAAAAATGTCTACTGTAAACTGCATTCCAGGAGCGAAGAGAGGTGGCCATAGTCCCCCAATCTCCAAGGCAATTTTGGCATCTGGGCTCCCTAATCCCTGTTGTTTCTCTTGCCCTCTAGGCCATGGGTGCCTTCTTTTCAGGAATCTTTTGGAGCAGCTTCGTTGGTGGGGGTGTCCTAACGCTACTGGTGGAGGTCAGCAACATTTTCCTCACCATTCGCATGATGATGAAGATCAACAATGCCCAGGATCTCCTGCTATACCGGGTCAACAAGTATGTTAACCTGGTCATGTATTTTCTCTTCCGCCTAGCCCCGCAGGGCTACCTCACTCATTTCTTCCTGCGTTACGCGGACCAGAGGAACCTGGGCACCTTTCTACTGAGCGTCCTGCTCATGTTGGACATAATGATCCTCATCTACTTTTCCCGCCTCCTCCGCTCGGATTTCTGCCCTGAACGTGTCCCCAGCCCGAAGCACAAAGACAAATTCTTAACTGAGTGAAACAGGGCCTCTGACTAAAGACAAGGCCAGCAAACACAGACAAGGAGTAAAAACTTGGACTTCGCCACAAACCTGGGGTGTTTTTTGTGGCCAACCTCTAACCTCAGGCACCTGTACCCACACTATTGAAAACACTATGAAAGCATTCTTCTGAAATCCTTGTCCTTTCTCAGGCAAGGAATGAAGGAAGCAGACAGACTGGCTGGACATGGTAAAAGGGTGTGTAGAGACAGGGCACTACCCCAAAGTTGGCCAACCCATATACTGCCCTGAAATGGATGCTAATGAAAACTTGTGACACTATCCTTCCTTCCAAACTCTGGTTATTGGTTTCATACATAGCCTCTTCCAGGGATAAAGCACAGGGTTCTTTTGCTTCCTGCCTACCAAAAGCAAAACCCACTGCCATTGGGTCAATTCTGGCTCATAGGTGCCCCCTTCTGAAGTGGTAAATCTTTACAAAGTAGGTTGCCCTCTCTTCCTTTGTGGAGTGGCTGGTGGGTTTGAACCACCAGAGTTCCTTTTTCTTCCTACAGTGGAGTCAAATTCAAAGACAACTGGCCTTTAACCTGGGTCACTAATATCTCTGGTACCTAAGTTCCTTCCTAACCACCAGAAGCTACAGCCTTTAACATGTACCTATCTACATACCAAACCTACTGGCAACTCCATTATGACTCAGTGACCCCACTGGGTTTCCAGGTTGGTAAATCTTTACTGAAATCGACTGCCCTATCTTCCTTCAGCAGTGGCTGGCAGGTTTGAACTGCCAACCTTCTGGTTAGTGCCTTAGGTACTATGCCACTAGAGCTCCTTTAACAAGTAGGGTGCTAAGGCTGAGTGTTCCAATAGGGACAAAGTACCAAGAGTCTTGCCTAAGCTTCACAGCTAGGTATGTGCCACAGCAGTGTTTCCCCAGCCCAACCGGGAAAAGACAAAGACAAGCATATGTAGTGAAAAAATTTATATTTAGAATTAGCCAGCTGGACTTGGTTTAGATGATCCCAATCTGAAAAACAAAAAGGAGCTTTGTTACTAAGATCTGAAATTTGGTAGGACCTATTAAGGATGGGGTGGAATCAGTTAAGATTAATCACAAAACTTCAGGCTTTGGTCACTAACAGGCCTCATTTGCACCCGGGGGGTGGGTGGGTAGGCGTTAGGGAGTCTGTAGAAAAGGAAGCTCACTTTGTTGGCGACATCCAAAGCGTCATAGTCAGGAGCCAGTCGAACATATGCCTTCTTCTCTCCATCAGGCCTAGGGTGGAGAATGAAGCCTTAAGTCTTGGATGTTTTCACTGCTCCCATTCCCTTCCTTCCTCCCATAGTCCTCTTGTGCATCAGTGGTTCCTTTGTTCATGTCATTTCTTTTCCAAATAGTGATTTTTCCATCATTTGCACAGAGGGGAAATAGGGATTCTACTAAGCCAAATTAAGCTACTTCCCCATTCCCTTTCCCTTTTATGGGAAACACTCAAGGCCACAGAACGTTTTAGGAGTTAAATCTAGGTAATCTGACACAAACTGTTTTATTCTAGAGCCTGTCTATTGATGCAGAGAGCAAGAAAATGAGCACCAACATCACACATCAAGGCCTAGAGGTAGGACTGATGATGTCCCCAAAGTCCACACTCCATTACAAAGGAGTGTGGCTGGGTTTATTTTTTCCAGGATTGCAAACCACTAAACCCACTGCTGATTTCAAGAGTAGTATCAAAAACACTCATGCCGTTCAGGATTTCTGGCTCTTAACTGTGGCCACACCCTCCTCCCCATCCCTTGGGGCCCCACTCACCTGATCAAGGTGTTAACCTTTGCCACATCAATGTCATAGAGCTTCTTCACAGCCTGTTTGATCTGGTGCTTGTTGGCTTTGACATCCACAATGAACACAAGTGTGTTGTTATCTTCTATCTTCTTCATGGCAGACTCAGTAGTCAGAGGGAACTTGATGATGGCATAGTGGTCAAGCCTAGAGAGGCAAAATGGGGTTACCTGGACTGAGCCCAGTAGAAGGATGTGTTCTCTTTTGGAGCCCAGGAGCAAGAGAACTCAGTGCATCAGACAATAAGGTAGCAATCACTTTTGTCAGACTTTGGTCGCTGAATAGGCGTCATCATCTGCACCATGAAACCTACAAGACGACTGTGAGCCCCAGCTGGAGTGCACTTTCTTCCACTCAAAGGGCTCTCATACTGTAAGTGCTTATCTTTTGAGTTCCAAACCTGCTTATATTCTTTATCTAACATTCCTGAGAGGTAAAAGTCTCACTGAAAAATTTTAGACTTGATAACTTAAGCAACTTACCCCAAGAACACAAGCCTAGACTGGAAACCCAGGCCGGGGTTGCACAGAACACTGATACTTCACTTTGAGACCATTTCTGCCCGCTTTGGTAGCTGCCAACAATTTTTTTTTTTTTTTTAATTTTATTAATTTGGCTGAAAGTTTATAGAGCAAATCCATCTTCCATACAGCAGTTCACATATACTTTGTCTCACTGACTGTAACTTCCCACAATGCCACAGCTCTCCTCCCACTTCCTCCCTATAGTCACCTTTTCCCTATATTCCTCCCTCCCATGGACTCCTGCCCTCTCTGAACTACACAGCCCTTCCATTCTCCCATGATTGACTTCTCCAAGAAGTATTATCAACTAATGTAAATGTTCAGTTCATATGCCTGTCTTTTATCTGTTGTTGTCACGTGCCTTCATAGCGACCCCTCCTTGGGGTTTTTGTAGGCAGTATCACTACCGAAGTGGACTGCCCCATCTTCCTTCCGAGGAGTGGCTGGTGGGCCTTCTGATTAGCAGTCAAGTGCCTTAGGCACTATGCTATTTAGCTGCCACCAATTTTTGACAGCAACTTTTTATTTACAGCTCAGGTGATGCTTACAATGGCTTGTGTACACCTAGAACACAGTATTCTTTTCCCCTAAAATTCAGACAAGCCAGGTTTGGCTCAGCCAGACACTTTCTGTCTTGAAGGTACAGGTCTGGTCTCAAATTCTCTCAACACACCGAATTCTAGGTGCAAATGGTAGGTGTGTAGAGGGGTGGAATTGGGTCTGGTTTCTTCCATGCACACAAGCTGCTGTTCTACCTTTGTCTTAGGAAGCAGTGGAAGAAACAGAAACTGACTGATGTGAACTCCTACCCTGGCTTTCTGGTCCCCAAAATCAGTAATGCACAGTTGCTTGATATAAAATCACACAAGAACCATTCCCTGAACACACTATGAAAATCTGGAAGTAAAATAAGCCATCACCACTGTCCCCAATGTCAACGCACATCCTTGCCCTCCAGGACTGTTCACTACATCAAAATCTGTAACTCCAACCAATATCCTAAAAATGTCTTTTTCTTCTTACACGGGGCAAAACCAACTCTCACATTCCCATTGGGGGAACCACTGGGTATCAACTTGTTTTTGAGAAGCCATGCTCTACGTTGGGCAACGGTTATTTTCAAATTACCCATGGAGGATACCCTTTCTCCAAAGATACAGGAGCAATACTTACTTGTTTCTCCTGGGGGCGCTCTTCCGAGGATATTTGGGGTGCCTGCGGAGCCTCAGTGTCTTAGGCCGCCGGAAGGTGGGTGACGTGCGGATCTTCTTTTTTTTGTGGCTGTGGACGCCCTTCAGCACAGCCTTCTTGGCCTTCAACGCCTTTGCTTTGGCTTCAGTTTTGGGAGGGGCAGGGGCTGGGAAAGAAGGAAAGAAAACCAGTATGCTGGACTCAAATCCATCACTTCTGGCCTCAACACCTGTGGTGGGCGCCCCGACCACACGTGCATCAGTGGTTCCTTTGAAGACATCACACCAAGTCTCAGGAGATCAAAATTTTTCCATCATACACACGATACTGAGGACAAAGGAGGTAAACTTGATGTAATCCGGACATACAACGAAGAAAAAAAAGAACTAGCAGTGATCGAACGCTTGATACTCGCCAGGAAGTTTACTAGTTCCGTACATACCGGCACCGCACACAAAACCAACTTGGGGGGGTACACTGCCTGGTTTAAACCCTTCTCCCCCCCCACCCCCAAAAAAAAGTTGAGCCCACCAACTCCTATCAGCTTTGAAGACATGGGGCTCCGGCATGTGGAAGCGTGTAGCTCCCCCGAGTAAAGAGTCACATGGCTCATTTTGGCGAGTGGTGGCGTCTTGGATTGCCTCCCTCAACACCTTCACTGAAGCTCAGCACATGCGGTTGGGCCCAGACGGCCCGCATATGCCGCAGCGTAGCCCAAATGCGGTCAACGACTCCGGAGCGGACTCCCCCCCACACCCAAGGATCAGCCCAGAAGCTGTCCTCCCAGTTCGTTCGCTCTATGGCTATCTCAAACAAGCCAAGGGTGGCCCTGAGACCCAGCACAAACCTTCCTTCTTCGCTTTCGGCGCCATCTTCGTAAAAAGGGTCTACAAGGCCCGTTCTCACGGGCTTATAGAACCAAGTCTCACAGAAGGCTCGCGATGCTTTTCACTTAAAGCAGATTGGATAATTTGTAGCGCAGCGGCCGCCGGGAACGGTAGTTAGGTTCAGTTTCTCGCCTAGGAGGACTAAGCACGCGCCACCCCTCCTCCCGTAAGATACTAAAGCTTTTTGGGAGTTGTAGTTTTTTTAGGACACGTGTTTACTTACCCTGGCTGCTGTTTCCGTCTGGTCTCGGGCGCTTCTCATTTTCAGAAACTGCCCAAGGAAGATGGCCTGCAGTGCCAGGAGACAGTGCCACCTGAAAGACTACACTAGAGTTAGGCTGATTCCGGGAGCGTGAAGCAAAGTTTTAGAACGTTAGAACAGGGTTTGCAAGGTCGTACTTCCTCAGTCAACACTGAGGAAACTGAGGTGCTGAGAGGAGGTATATAAGTAAGGGGTGATTGTTGTTGTTGTTATGTGCCGTCGAGTCGGCCC